AAGGCAGCACCTCAGTGGAGTAGAATAGTGCACCAAAAATCCTAGACAGATTTTCATAAACCCTAGCCCTCTTCTCCCAATTTCTCCTTTTCTAAAATTGAATAACCTTTATTCTCTATTGTTAAGCGATTTAAAAGAAGTGGGGCCCACACCATGTAATGGAACGTCTCTTAATACTGAAAGAACGGGTAACGTGAGACAGTTTTTAAAAGTATAGGGGGTATTTTGAGACGTTTCAAAGCACATGTGGTAATCTGAGACAACTTTGAAAGCACAGGGGGCATGTACATAAATAAGCCATGATTAAATACATAATCTTTTTTTTCTTCATCAGTCATGGTAAAGATGACCCTTAGCAAATCGTGCTCTTTGGCTAAAACGTTGGTGATACGAAATACTTGCAAAGGAGATAGGAATTCTATTTTCCTCAGTTCGCCACCAAGTTTAGCTTGCATATCAGCAAGATCCTTCTCTGTTGAAAGAACATTTACCAAGCCTGCAAGCTGAGGTGCCATTCCTGCTACAGCTTCAGCCATAAGTCCAAATTTGTTAGACATTTCATTCAAAGCATATACCTTCCTACAAGGATGATTTGGATCACTTGCTACATCTTGTGCGGGTCTCTTCTGTTTGGCACTTGAGGGTTGGGGATTTGGTTGTGTAAAGGTTGTCTCATCATCTTCCAAATCCTCAACATCCTCAAATTGAAATCCCTCATATTCTGAACCCCCATATTGTGACCCACCATCAGGATGTGAAAACATCTCCTCAATAAAGTCATCACCCACACTTCTATTCTGATGAACACTTGCATCATCTTGCCTAACGTCTTCTTCATCATCATTAGCATTTCCAGCATTTGTTCCAATAGCACGATCTTTTTCGTATATCTCTCCAAGTGCATAGTATATATATATATGCATTAGTATTCTTAAATAAATATTAAAGACATAGCATAACATATGTATTTTTTAATTCGATACACATAGAATAGGATATGCTTTGATTTACCTCCAGGTTATATGCCACCAATCAAACCTTCTCATCTTGCATATATGATTCACTCAAATTATCAAAAGCAGGCACACTACAAGCCTTTGTGAAAGATAAAGTGCCAAATTGAAAAACAGGCTTTCAATTACAAACTATGTATGGTACAAATAAAGATTAATAAGATCGATGGATAGGGTAGGCAAACTATGTTTGTTTTCTCAACACAAATCAACACCATATGAATTAGAACAGTAATTTGGTTTATTTTCTGCACCAGCTACAAGATTTTCCAAACCCAATGGAAATAAATTCTGAAATTCACACCATCGTGATATTCTACTATCAAACTTCATTCATATACTACCAAAATGGTCAACTATGACAATATCATCAATTTCTTTATCCATGACCATACTTTGTTTTGCGATGAATGTGAAGACAAAAGATAGAAGAAGAAGAAGGCAGATAAATAGATAGATAGAATAACTTACATAGCACAAGGCGTTGTTGCTGTTTCAAGAAGCTTGTGTATGCAACGTTAACATAAAAAAGAAGTTGGAGCGTCTTTGAACTTCTTCTTAGCGTGAGTTTTTTTTTTTTTAGGGTTTGGGGTGTTTTGGAATTATGGTAAAGTGGTAAGGGTATTTTTGGAAGTTATTAAGGGACAGGAATGAGAATTGTATCGACTACTCCCCCTAGTTGATCTGATACCTAGTTTTGAAGGGATGTGATTACGGACAAAAAAATGATTTGATACCTAGTTTTGAGGGGATGTGATTACGGATTTTGAGGTAGGGCCCACTTATTTTTTCAATCCTGATTGCAAGTAAACGCAGAGGAAGTCAAGAATGGAAATCATTCCCTTTCCTCACATACCCATTACTAATACGTGAACTTGTGATTACGAATTTTGTAACTCAAGTCGTTAAGAACATTTTTCTGAATTATTTTAGTTGACAGTATGAGAATGCATAAAGGGCTAAGATTGCCACTATTAAGAAGATGAAGGTAAGGATTCAGGAAGAAAATGCTGCTCAATTTTGAGTTGAAATAGGAGAATGCTGTCTTGTGATTGAAGAATTATTCTTCAAGTATAAAGCCTTTTGGTGTTCGTGGCCCTGAGACCATCAACATTTAGAGCATGCATTGCATAGCAGAAATGAAAGAACGAGCTAAAAACTTCTTTTGCAGCAATATACATGTTCTTTCGTAAAATCTTTATTTATATATAAAGAGACTGTGTATAGTTAGATGAGGATAAGAGTAATATTTAGTTAAGATAGTTTGAGTAAAGCTGGAAAACGTTGACCACAAAAATAACAATTTTTTAAAAATAAAAATAAAATAAAAAACTGGGGAACCAATTTCTTGAAGCCTCTGCTGCTCATCCTGCAATTAACTGTAGATGCATAGCACATTGCTGCAATGACTTGGGTCTAGGACTGATTTCATTTTTTTCAGAAAAATAAAAAAATAAAAAAGTCGCCATCCAGTTGTAATCCATTGCTTCTCATTGCAATGGATTCACAAATTAGGTCTTGATATCCTAACAATTTGAAAAGCAATACATGTTCTTGTCTATAACCAATGAAGTTAAGCTGAATTGAATTTGAGGTAGCCTTTAAACCAAATATGACATTGCTACTCAACTTTTCTATATTCTTGTCTGATGACTATTCCGAATCAAGAAACTTAACACATTCTACAAAAATTCTAAACTACTGCTTGGTCAATTAACACATTCTACAAAAGTTCTAAACTACTGCTTGGTCAAGAGTGACATTTGAATTCTGTCGTGTGTATGCGAGAGAGAGAGAGAGAGAGAGAGAGAGAGAGAGGCAGGCGGGGGAAGTGGAATGAAAAAATCTCCATTACGCTTCACAAAACTTTATAGCTCTTGTCAGTTGAGGTTCCTTTCACTTCCTTTACGATTGCTTCTGACAGTTCATCTGCATTGTACTCTACACCAAAGCATCTCACAACTTCCATGTTTGGATTCATCAAATACCTGGTTGTTTCAATGCACATTAAAGCCACTTTGAGCTCATGTACAAGAAAACTGATAAGAAAAAGATTTTAGCAAGTAGCTCACATGTTATGGGAACACTCAACAAGATAGTCATCGCCCTCTTCTTCAACCTTCTTAAAATAAGCACGGTATTCCTGAGCCATCTGCCTTATAGCTGATACAGGTCCTGTTAACCCTACAATCCTTGATTCAAACTCTGTCCACGAAAATGTTGGGTGAGGTGATAGGGGAAGCCAAAACGAGATATTAGCCAAACCATCTGTATTTAAATAATTAGCATAAAAAGTACAAATATTCCACTGTAGAAGAATTCAGACCTTTAAGGTAGGCACGGAGATGAGAAGGGGTATCACGTTGTGGATCAAGTGTAACAAATACTGGTAGAATCTTACGGTTATGTCTTGATTCTTGTACCCGAGAAAAAAAAATGGTAGCACGTCAGTGGTCCAACAACAAAATAGTATTCAAATATAAAATGTTAATAAAGTACCAACCTAATATGTTTGTGGCCTTGGCCATCATCTGGAGTTGTTCCGGTCCAACATCAGGAGAAGAAGTATATCCAAAATAGAGAAGAACCCAGTTTCCTAAAAGATTTCGTTCAGTGAGAGTGTGGTTCTCCATGTCCACTAAAGTGAAGGGACCACCGATTATAGGGCCCCTGACATTGTTTACGCATGGGCAGTTACCCTGACCTGCTAAGATTGAGAAAGAGTAAGAGAAGGATGTCGCTTGGTCTTAGAAAACAAAGTCATTTCCCCATCATTCAATCAGGAAACGTACTTGCAGATTCATAGTACATTCTAAATAGCTAAGTTAGTAGTTCAATTAATATGGGAGAACAGAGTTCGATGGAAAACTAAACTCGTTACGAATTTCCCTGCAGATTTTAGACAAAAATTGAAGTTTAAACCAATGGGTAGATATTGAACAGCTAGCATGCACATTGTCCTACGATGAAAAGATATTCTAATTGTCTCCATTCCAACTGATTTTGAATAGACTATAGCCCAAGCACAACAATAAGTTCATCATACTAATTGATTACGCTGCTCAATTCATCATACAAAAGCTAGAAAAGGAACAAAACATGCAGTCCTGCATTAAGAACAATTTGACTCCACAAAGTAAATCCAAATTGAGGTGAACATAGCATTTCTGCCAGCAATATTTTTTTACATTACAAAGCTAAAAATCATATTAAACATTTTCACTATTCTACAAACTAACATTAATGAAGTACCTCAATAAGAAAATGGAATGAAGACTAACCCAGTAACACTTCGCATAAATAGTCCAATTGCATCCTTTTAAACAAATAATTGGACAGCCAATATCCTAGAGGTTTCAGACTGAAGCCACTAAACTCATCATAAGACCTCTTGTCTCGCCCATAAGGCCAACATCAAATGAATCTCTTAACAATTCTAACGTTTTTTAAGTCAGAAGCAAAGATTCTTAAATCACTAAAATGCATTATCTTTGATAGCTAAAATTAGCTATTTAGTTTGAATGTTGTGTCATCCAAAAAAAAAATTTGAAATCCACTGAATGCAACAAAATATGAAGGAAGAACGAGAAGACCAAATTAATATGAAAAAGGCCACATAAATTAGTGAAAGTATCCACAACCATTATATTCTAGAGGTTTCAGACTCGAGCCACTTAATTCATTATTAGACCTCTTGCCTTTCACACATCAAGCCTAACATAAAATGAATTTATTAACAATTCTAAATGTTTCTTTACAGTCAGAAGTAAATATTCTAAAGTCGCTGAAATGAGCTATTGTTGTTATATTAAATTAGCAATTTAGTTTGAATGCTAACAAAATACGGAGGAAGAACAAGATGACCAAACTAATATGAGAAAGGCCACATAAATGGGTCAAAGTATCCACAAGCATCATTTTCCAGATACCAACTTCAAATCAAAACCAGTTCTCTAGCAGTACTAAAGGTTGAAATAGTACCTTTTAAAGTTACTCTCCTCTCATCATTATAATGAATGAAAGTTGCCAACCCAGCAAAGAAGAGTACACCAGCAGCCGGCTGCAGAAAAAAGTATTTGATTAACAAATGAAGGGACCTCAATCCAGGAAAGCATGAAACAAATGCTCATTGTTTATTATATCCATAAATGTGCACCTTGAAAACAAGAAGATGTAGATAATATAACTGATAAGAGAACAGAAAGGAGAAGGCTGCATACAATGACATAGGAAGCCCTAGAGCGAGAAGCCGGGGGTGTTTCTACAGTCATCGGGGGTCTAATATCTGTCTTCCCGTTTGCACTTTTCGATGAATTTGCATAACTACGAGAATGAATTCTCTTAGGGAGGCCAGACCTATATCAGGCACAAATGATTCAGTAGAAACTCAGATGCTAAAGGAAACATGAAACAGAACTTTGAGCAGTATCCCCCAATTGGGCTTAGAATATGTCTTATGCTTGCCAAAAGGGTGAATGAACATTTAACACCGTTTTCACATATAAGCGAGAAAAACCCCATTTAGGATTTTCTTAATCCCTTAAATTCAAACCCCCAAAATAAACTTCGAACGAAACAACCCGAAACACCCACTTCAAATCAATGTTCAGAAATCCTATGCGAACTCCTGCTGGTAAAAATCCTGAGTACCAAAACATAGCCAAATGTCACATAGTTGACATTACCATTTACTACCACAAGATATTTAATGGTTTTTTTCAAAATGAGAAATTTGGATTGTGGTAATCCATCACACTTCCATTGGACACTAATTCAGTGAAAACTGCTCTACCACCAAATATAGAATTTTCCCTTGCATAATCAACTTGCAAGAAAAGGGTGCTAAGAGCACATACAGAATTTCAAAAGATACTTTATCTTTTCAACAAGATACATTTGGGGAATAATAAAGACATTTAACAAATATACAAATATGTATGAAGTATGAACACAAACATCAATATGAACTCAAAGAACATGTAATATAATATGCATAGCATAAACCCAAAACGTTGAAACGAGTAATTTCAAAATAAAGATTGAATTTCAGCGATCCAGCAGAATTGCACTTCCCCTGAGTTAAAACACTAGAAAAGAAACCAAGATTCTCAAAAAGGGCTTCAGAGTGTGTACCTCCGAAGTAGATTGAAAGCCTCTATTGAGCGTTGTTTGGCCGAAAAGAAAATAAAACGAGAAAAGGGCATGGTTTCTAGGAAGATTTCTTGGGTGAGTTTTCCGTGAATAGCTGTTTTGAGCAAAACCCATTTGGGTTTTGTATGACTAGCACAAGCTATCAAAGCACGCGCTCGTTTTCCCTCCGTATTCTGTAAATTGCCTTCTATGGAAATTGTTTTCTTTTTTTTTCTTTTTTTTCTATTTGACTTTTTGGGTTAGCACAACCTAGGAAAGCCCATAAGCCCATTCCGAAGCGATCCATCCTCAGCTCCGTTGAATCAGTAAGTCTTGCAGTGCACTCCAAGTTCGACGACCAACGCCACGTTTCTCTTTCAATTCTCAATTGTGGGTGCATTTCAAACTAGTACTCGATTTTATAGGGGCCTTATAGACCCATCCGTTGCTTAAAGTTTGTAAAATGCGAACACAGATGAATAAGAGTCAAATTTATTTTTTGGTCTGAAAAATATGAGTCACATTTATTCTCTTGTATGCAAGGAATTTGTAGCTCAAGTGATTAATAGCATTTATCAACGCACACGAGGTCTTAAATTCAATTCATTTCTTCATCGCTTGTATAAAAAATATAAAAAAATACAAACTAAACGATACAAAAAAAAATTTGTAATCCTTTAAATCATTTTTATAAAAGGCTTGTAGCTCAATTAGTTATTGCTTGTATTAAAAAGACATGATTAGGATGTGGAGTAGTTGAAAAATCTGTCCACTATATTGCACATATTCGTATTAAAAAAATCCCCAGTACCTTTTTTCAAATTAATACTTCTTGTGTGAAGCACTTCCATTTTTTTATATATGGTTCTTTGTTGGAAACAAACTATTTTAGTCTTTCCAATGTCTCAAGTAGTGCTGCAACCTTCCCAAATTTGGAGTTTGGGGATATTGAAAAAGTCTAAAAATCCCCTTCAAAATGAAAAGACTAAAACACCCTTCTAAATGGATGGAAAATTAGACAAAGTGAGGTGACAACTTCAACCCAAAATTGAAAATTCAACTCAAGTACTTACAAAGGGCTCATCTGGCTTTTCTTTGTACACACAATTTTTCTTTATACAAGTGATATTGGAGAAGGGGGAATCAAACTTAGGACCTCAGATGCATAAGTAAATGCTCTTGAGCTACAAGCCCCTTACTACCACTTTCTAAGTTTAGGAAACCATTTGCATGCACCAAAAAAGTGAATATAAAAAGACATATCAAACTAAAAATTCTAAGTTCATAGAAGCATGTCCAAGTTGAAGCCCAAAATGACCCTTAAACATTCTACCAAGGAAAAATCAATAGCAAAATAATAATAATAAAAGTAGAGGATAAATTTACCATAGGACCGCAGTTGGAGAGGTCCACAAAGTATGAGTGAAGGTAGGGCTTGTTGTTGGGATGGTCAGGGCTCCATCTATAGATCTTGAACTCCTTCAGCACTTGGTCTTTCTTTCTGACGCTGTCATGGGTCTCAAGAGCTACTTCTGCATGCTGCTGGGCAACAGGGTGGCCTTCTAACACAGGAAAGTTCTCCTTCTTTGGGTCAGCACCTCTGCTGCCTACAATTCGAGCTACCCTGTTGAAGCCATGGCGGATCCAGCTCTTTGACATCTTTATCTATTTCTCATAGGAAACTGCTGCAGATTTTGGCTTGCACATTTGAGGCCTTTGCATATATCACAGGTGTCAGAACATACAATTATCTGTAGCCATGCAAGCGGAACACATGTCCATAAATAAACCTGTCACAAATTTCAATCGGGCTTGGACTTGGGCTTGAATTGGTCTTATGCTTAAAGTTTGGACTAAATTATAGAAGTCCATAAACTGAACAAGTGATTTACCAAGTGCTCTCCAATCCTTTTAGAAAAAAATTCTATAGGTTGTTTAGTAGTCTTCTGTCACGTGAATATGTAAAATGATCGAACAATAAAGTCAAAGAAGAAAAAGGGTATATTTGATAATATTTTTTCTATTTAAAAAAAAATTGAAATAATTATCAAACAAACCCTATCTTCACTCTATCTTCACTATATTGTACATGTTTATTGCCTGTACTCTCGGCCATCCTTTGGTGGCTTCGTCGTCTTCAGCCATGGCTCAATCAACCTAGCCAAGGTAATATCAAGAAATGAAACTCTCATGAAGATGCGTTGTTCATAATAAAAAGTGATAAGTTTAGCTCTCATTAACTAAATTCTAAAGAAGTAACATTTCTTAATATTTAAGAATCATAAAGCTTATCTTGCGCATTTAAATGGAAGCATACTTGCCCTAAAACAAATGAAAGCGCTCTTTTGTGAATTCAAACTTAAGATTATTTCTAATATTAAGAAGAGAAATACCACTAGACAGACCAAAAAGAGCTAGCAAGATGAAAACAAAATATTTTAGAAAAATATACTGCAAAACATTGGGCTGGAAACTTTAATTTACAACATAACAATACATAAATAATTAGGTCTGACCACTAAATAGAATTAGAAATGATCATCTTGCAAGACCTCCTATAACTCAAGCTTGAATCATCCTCTGCTTTCATCTTCTGCAATGCATCCAAAACCAAAACCTAAAAGTTGGTTGGTTTGGTTCAACGAGAATTGGCCTGCTTGAAGTTGGACCAGCCTGATTGACCAAACTTTATCAAAATATTCAACCTAAAATTGAAAATTCAACTCAAGTAATTACAGAGGGCCCATCTGGCATTTTCTTTGTACACAATTTTTTATTTTATATAAGTGATATTGGGGAAGGGGAATCAAACATAAGATCTCGAACACAAAAGTAAATGCTCTTGGGCAATAAGCCCCTCTTACTACCACTTTCAAAGTGCATGCACCAAAAAAGTGAATATAAAAAGACATATCAAACTGAACATTCTACCTAGGAAAAATCAGTAGCAAAAGAACAATAATAAAAGTAGAGAAGATAAATTTACCATAGGACCGCAGTTGGAGAGGTCCACAAAGTAAGAGTGAAGGTAGGGCTTGTTGTTGGGATGGTCAGGGCTCCATCTATAGATCTTGAACTCCTTCAGCACTTGGTCTTTCTTTCTGACGCTGTCATGGGTCTCAAGAGCTACTTCTGCATGCTGCTGGGCAACAGGGTGGCCTTCTAACACAGGAAAGTTCTCCTTCTTTGGGTCAGCACCTCTGCTGCCTACAATTCGAGCTACCCTGTTGAAGCCATGGCGGATCCAGCTCTTTGACATCTTTATCTATTTCTCATAGGAAACTGCTGCAGATTTTGGCTTGCACATTTGAGGCCTTTGCATATATCACAGGTGTCAGAACATACAATTATCTGTAGCCATGCAAGCGGAACACATGTCCATAAATAAACCTGTCACAAATTTCAATCGGGCTTGGACTTGGGCTTGAATTGGTCTTATGCTTAAAGTTTGGACTAAATTATAGAAGTCCATAAACTGAACAAGTGATTTACCAAGTGCTCTCCAATCCTTTTAGAAAAAAATTCTATAGGTTGTTTAGTAGTCTTCTGTCACGTGAATATGTAAAATGATCGAACAATAAAGTCAAAGAAGAATAAGGGTATATTTGATAATATTTTTTCTATTTAAAAAAATTTTGAAATAATTATCAAACAAACCCTATCTTCACTATATTGTACATGTTTTTTTGGGTGTCTGAAAAATATATGGCTCTCTGGTTGTGATGTGTACAGTTTGTCAAAGCTCTGGTAGATGGTCAGAGCCTCGGCCCATGTGTGGGAAATCTTCAGGACAAGTCAACCGTCAAATTCATCCCACTAGTTTAATAAATAGAGTCATAAGTCCCACTAAACATCTTCTCTGCAACTATTTGGGGCCACCTTGAAAGCAAGAAGATGTAGATAATATTACTGATAAGAGAACAAAAAGGGGAAGGCTGCATACAATAACATTGGAAGCCCTATAGCGAGAAGCCGGTGGTGTTTCTACAGTCATCGGAGGTCTAATATCTATCTTTCCATTAGCACTTTTCGATGAATTTGCATAACTAGCTGCTGGTAGAAATTGGTGAGGTCAACAACCAGATCTTTGATCACAAACATGTGAGGCAGAGGGGTTATAGTAGTGGGTTTGGAAGTGTCTGCATCTATGGGCCTGAGGCAGGCCACAGTATTTGTCCCATCAATGTTCATGGAGCATGACCCACATATCCCTTCCCTGCAAGACCTCCTATAACTAAAGCTTGAATCATCCTCTGCTTTTATCTTCTGCAATGCATCCAAAACCTAAAATTGCTAGAGTTTAGAGTTAGATATTATGTGGTTGGTTTGGTTCAACGAAAATTGGCCTGCTTGGAAGTTGGACCAGCCTAAATGATCAAACTTTATCAAAAGATTCAACCCAAAATTAAAAATTCAACTCAAGTACTTACAAAGGGCTCATCTGGCTTTTTCTTTGTACACACAATTTTCCTTTATACAAGTGATATTGGAGAAGGGGGAATCAAACTTAGGACCTCAGATGCATAAGTAAATGCTCTTGAGCTACAAGCCCCTTACTACCACTTTCTAAGTTTAGGAAACCATTTGCATGCACCAAAAAAGTGAATATAAAAAGACATATCAAACTAAAAATTCTAAGTTCATAGAAGCATGTCCAAGTTGAAGCCCAAAATGACCCTTAAACATTCTACCAAGGAAAAATCAATAGCAAAATAATAATAATAAAAGTAGAGGATAAATTTACCATAGGACCGCAGTTGGAGAGGTCCACAAAGTATGAGTGAAGGTAGGGCTTGTTGTTGGGATGGTCAGGGCTCCATCTATAGATCTTGAACTCCTTCAGCACTTGGTCTTTCTTTCTGACGCTGTCATGGGTCTCAAGAGCTACTTCTGCATGCTGCTGGGCAACAGGGTTCATTGGAAGCCCTATAGCGAGAAGCCGGTGGTGTTTCTACAGTCATCGGAGGTCTAATATCTATCTTTCCATTAGCACTTTTCGATGAATTTGCATAACTAGGAGAATGAATTCTCTTAGGGAGGCCAGACCTATATCAGGCACAAATGATTCAGTAGAAACTCAGATGCTAAAGGAAACATGAAACAGAACTTTGAGCAGTATTCCCCAATTGGGCTCAGAATATGTCTTATTCTTGCCGAAAGGGTGAATGAACATTTAACACCGTTTCACATATAAGCGAGAAAAACCCCATTTAGGATTTTTTTAATTAATCCCTTAAATTCAAACCCCCAATATACTTCAAATGAAACATTAAACCCGAAACACCCAATTCAAATTAATGTTCAGAAATCCTAAGCAAACTCCTCCCGGTAAAAATCCTGAGTACCAGAACATAGCCAAAATGTCACATAGTTGACATAACCATTTACTACCCCAAGATATTTCTTTTCATTTTTCTTTTTCGAAGTGAGAAAATTTGGATTGTGGCAATCCATCACACTTCCAATGGACACTAACTCAGTGAAAACTGCGTTAAATCACAAGGTGTGATGTGGTTGGTAAACTGCCACCTTCAGCTAGCGAGCTATCTTGTGGCTCAATTGCAGAGGTTTGAAACTCGTTGAAAACACTTTGTGGTCAGGGGTAAACCGAATCCCGAGCAAGAATTAATTTCATCCTTCAGGTGTGGAGACACCTCGTGGTATTTACTATAAAAAAAACCTGCGCTACCACCAAATATAGAATTTGGCCTTGCAAAATCAACTTGCTAGAAAAAGGGTGCTAAGAGCACATACACTGTTTCAAAAGATACTTTATCTTTTCGACAAGATAAATTTGGGGAATAATAAAGACATTTAACAAATACACAAATATGTATAAAAGTACGCACACAAACATCAATATGAACTCAAAGAACATGTAATATAATCTGCATAGCATAAACCCAAAACGCTGAAACGAGTAATTTCAAAATAAAGATTGAATTTCAGCGATCCAGCAGAATTGCACTTCCCCTGAGTTAAAACACTAGAAAAGACACCAACATTCTCAAAAAGGGCTTCAGAGTGTGTACCTCCGAAGTAGACTGAAAGCCTCTATTGAGCGTTGTTTGGCCGAAAAGAAAAGAAAACGAGAAAAGGGCATGGTTTCTAGGAAAATTTATTGGGTGAGTTTTCTGTGGATAGCTGTTTTGAGCAAAACCCTTTTGGGTTTTGTATGACTAGCTCAAGCTAGCAAAGCACGCGCTCGTTTTCCCTCCGTATTCTGTAAATTGCCTTATATGGAAATATTAATTTCTTCTTTTTTTCTATTTTTCCTTTTTGGGTTAGCACAAGCTAGGAAAGCCCATAAGCCCATTCCGAAGCGACCCATCCTCAACTTTGTCTGCTCCGTTGAATCAGCTAGTCTTGCAGTGCGCACTCCAAGATCGACGACCAACACCACGTTTCTCCTTTTGTTATTTTTGGTAAATATAACGAGATGTCCCACACTTGAAGAGGGGGATTAATCCCCGCTCGAGGTTCGGCTTGCTTTTGACCACAAAATACTTCTAACGGGTTTCGAACTCGTTCTATTGAAACACCAAGTAACTTGTCAATTGGAGGTCGTACCACACCTTGTGGTGGTTACACCACGTTTCTCTTTCAATTCTCAATTGTGGGTGCATTTCAAACTAGTACTCGATTTTATAGGGCCTAATACTAAAACTCACGAAAAATTCCATCCGTTACCTAAAGTTTGTTAAAGTGCCAACATAGACAAATATGAGTCACATTACTCGATTTTATAGGGCCTTATACTAAAACTCACGAAAAATCCCATCCGTTACCTAAAGTTTGTTATAGTGCCAACATAGACAAATATGAGTCACATTTATTCTATTGTACGCAAGGGACTTGTAGCTCTAATGATTAAGAGCATTTATCTATGCACACGAGGTCCTAAGTTTGATTTCCGTCTTCATCAATATCGCTTGTAAATAAAATAAAATAAAAACTAAACGGATACAAAAAAAAAAATTGTAATCCTTTAAAACATTTTTACAAGGGACTTGTAGCTCAATTAGTTAAAAACAGTTACTCATTCCCCGAAATCATGTGTTCGAATTTCCTCTCTCTCAATATCGCTTGTATTTAAAAAAATCTTAGAAAGTCTCGGAATTACTGCCATCTTCTGAACTTTAACATTAGGAAACCTTATGACTGCTATGAACGACAGGATTAGGATGATGGAGTTGAAAAATCTGTTCACTATATTGCACATATGTAGTTCCTTTGATTCCTAAATATTCGTATTAAAAAATCTCTTCAGTACCTTTTTTCAAATTATTACTTCTTGTGGCAAGCACTTCCATGTTTTTTATATATGGTTCTTTGTTGGACACAAACTACATGGTCTTTTAGAGTTATACAGTTATTGGACTTACTTGCATCTCTATATTCTCTAATGTCTACAAGCCCAGGATATACAAGTTTACAAGCTCTCAACCAATTGGTCTGCCTGACACAACATGTCCTTGGTCCTCAACCCTTTCGACTGGTTGAGACAAGAGGTGCCTGGTCTTCATTTTGCTAATGGCATCAGCAGGATTGAGGCTTTTGGGGCAATTGGCTGTGCAATTCTTTATAGTCCTGCATCTATATAACCTCGTGTGGTCTTCTGTCAATGCCTGCAATCGTGGCTCTGTGAACTCGTCCCGACTGCCAAAGCAGAACCCAATTGATCACAACACATACATAATCTACGACAATAATACTCAGGCACCAAAATTTCATTCCCAGTTTTTTACTTGTTCAAAATAAACGAGATTCATAGTGGGAGTTAGAAATATACAACTAAAATACTTCCGGCTTTGTTAGGATTCAAAATTTGAAATTTGTGTTGGAGTCTCTAGTATTACTCAAAATTTTGATTGAATCACTCAAAACAAAACAAAACAAAGTAATTTGATAACTTATTGGTAAGGTTACCTATCGGCAATCCATCGGTAAGCATGGAGCAAAGCCGCTGGTCCAGGGTACTCCTCCGGATTCCACCAGTAGGCAGGGCAGGAGGTAGTACAACAAGCACAAACTCATAAAGCCCATCAAGCTTTTTCCTGTCTGAGGGTGATTGCCTGTACTCTCGGCCATCCTTTGGTGGCTTCTTCGTCTTCAGCCGTGGCTCAATCAACCTAGCCAAGGTAATATCAAGAAATGAAACTCTCATGAGGATGCGTTGTACTAGTTCATAATATAAAAAGTGATAAGTTTAACTCTCGTTAACTAAATTCTAAAGAATTAATACCCTTTAAGAATTATAAAGCTTATCTTGCGCATTTAAATGGATGCATAACTTGCCCTAAAACAAACGAAAGCGCTCTTTTGTGAATTCAAACTTGAGATTATTTCTAATATTAAGAAGAGAAATATCACTAGACCGACCAGATAGAGCTGGCGAGATGAAAACAAAATATTTTAGAAAAATGTAATGCAAAACATTGGGATGGAAACTTTAATTTACAACATAACAGAACATAAATAATTAGGTCTGACCCCTAAATAGAAATAGAAATGCTCATCCTACTTGTACTGCTGGTAGAAATTGGTGAGGTCAACAACCAGATCTTTGATCACAAACATGTGAGGCAGAGGGGTTATAGTAGTGGGTTTGGAAGTGTCTGCATCTATGGGCCTGAGGCCGGCCACAGTATTTGTCCCATCAATGTTCATGGAGCATGACCCACATATCCCTTCCCTGCAAGACCTCCTATAACTCAAGCTTGAATCATCCTCTGCTTTCATCTTCTGCAATGCATCCAAAACCAAAACCTAAAAGTTGGTTGGTTTGGTTCAACGAGAATTGGCCTGCTTGAAGTTGGACCAGCCTGATTGACCAAACTTTATCAAAATATTCAACCTAAAATTGAAAATTCAACTCAAGTAATTACAGAGGGCCCATCTGGCATTTTCTTTGTACACAATTTTTTATTTTATATAAGTGATATTGGGGAAGGGGAATCAAACATAAGATCTCGAACACAAAAGTAAATGCTCTTGGGCAATAAGCCCCTCTTACTACCACTTTCAAAGTGCATGCACCAAAAAAGTGAATATAAAAAGACATATCAAACTGAACATTCTACCTAGGAAAAATCAGTAGCAAAAGAACAATAATAAAAGTAGAGAAGATAAATTTACCATAGGACCGCAGTTGGAGAGGTCCACAAAGTAAGAGTGAAGGTAGGGCTTGTTGTTGTGATGGTCAGGGCTCCATCTATAGATCTTGAACTCCTTCAGCACTTGGTCTTTCTTTCTGACTCTGTCATGGGTCTCAAGAGCTACTTCTGCATGCTGCTGGGCAACAGGGTGGCCTTCTAACACAGGAAGTTCTCCTTCTTTGGGTCAGCAGCTCTGCCTACAATTCGAGCTACCCTGTTGAAGCCATGGCGGATCCAGCTCTTTGACATCTTTATCTATTTCTCATATGAAACTAACCCTGCAGAATTTGCTTGCACATTTGAGGCCTTTGCATATATCACAGGTGTCAGAACATACAATTATCGGTAGCCATGCAAGCGGACACATGTCCATAAATAAACCCGTCACAACTTTCAATTGGGCTTGAATTGGTCTTGTGCTTAAGTTTGGACTGAATTAGAAGTCTAGAAACTGAACAAGTGATTTACCAAGTGCTCTCCAATCTTTCAAGAAAAAATTTCTATATGTCGTTTCTGTCACGTGAATGTGTAAAATTATCGAAAAATCGAGTTAAAGAATAAGAGCTTGTTTGATAATTATTTTAATTATTTTATTTTCAGTTTTTATTATTTTGTAAACTGAAATAGTTATCAAACGAACTCTAGTGTGTTTAATTTCACAATTAATGACCAAAATTTTCTCAATTGTTCCACATTGAGAATGTGCAGATGTTTTTAGGTTTTTTTTTTTTGGTGTCCGAAAAATGTATGGCTCTCTGGG